AGTTTGCCACGCAACGTCGTCTTTAAAAAGACGCACCCGTGAATGCTCTTTTAGGGAAAAAGCTCTTTTAGCATACTGAAGCGCACAGGGGAGATGGCCGCCTGCAATACAAACAGGGGGTAGTGCAGCCCGATGTGTGCAACCCACACGACACGGGAAAACCACCACCGCTGAAGCGCCGTACCACCAACACGAAGAGCTCTCGAAAAGAGCACGCTGAACTCGTTCAGTCTTCTTCTCTCAGTAGAGCAGTCAGGAGCAGAACGATGTGATCGCTTTGCTCCGAAGCGAAAAGCTGAATATGCGCTGCACCTGCTGCCTACTTATACTCACGCTGTGATCAGCGGCAGCTGGATGCAATAATCGCATGCCAATGCGCATTGGCTCGTTTAGTTTACACTCGGAGTAGATTGGTCTCTCTAAGCGAGATCCCAATTCATCGGTCATCCGACGTGACGTCGAGAGTGACCAATTGAATGGGAAATGAAGAGTTTGGTTCTAAAACGCAATAAAGCCATTTTGATTAATTTGAGTAAAAAAGTTTTCTTTACCAAGAAAGTGGCAAGATGAAAAACACTATTTTCTGTTTCAAACTTTCACATAGCATCTTTAGGTTATAATAACATACAAGATTTAAATCCAGATTTTGATTTTCAAAGATTTATTATAAGATTGTATAATTTTTTCCCCAAAATGCAATAAATGTATGACACTTTTTTTTTCATTGAATCAATATAAAAGTAATTTTTCATATTGAAACTGTTGAAAATACACAACATAGTAAGTTGATCCACATATGACAGGCTCTGAACTTGGTCAATACTAATCTTATATACAGGCACTGGGCTAAAAATACATTCAATCAGTCATCGCTCCCAAAATGAATTCAACGGGTCATCTTGTTAATGCTATAAATTAATTACAACAATAAAAGAAAATTTCATCATGAACATACATGAACAACAATATCACATTAAACCACAGAAATTCCAAAATGACATTTCCCTTACATTCAACTTCCAAAAGTGCATTCATCTTTGCCATGTTACATTCATTTAGTTGACTAGTGCTATACGCTATATTAACAAAAACATTAATGGCATTAATAAAAACACTTACACTGACAAGCTACGCAATATCACGTTCATAATCGAATGCGACTCATCTGCGATTATGAACGCGATATTGCATAACTTGCTAGTGATCTACGGCTCTGTGTATTAAATGCCGCTACATCTGAAAGCACGCGATGGAGATTTATCACAGAACCGGCTTTACTGACGAGATGCGCATGACAATCACATGCGATTTATCGTGCAGCCCTAAGTTTGTTTGTGGATCACAAAGTACAAAATAGATGAGGAAAACTAGGATGCCGGGTGTATTCAAAGCACCGCCATTACTGTCTAGAGTGCGTGGAATGGTGCGCTGTGATTGGTTGAGCAGATATATCGCATTCTGCAAAGAAAGGAGACTGGCGTTTGTCACGGTTTGGGAAAAAAATTACCTAATAACTCGTGCGGATATCGTATTTTGCGTAAAATAAAAAATTGACTTTTCAATACCGACCAGATACTATACTGATTTTGGCGGAAACTAATTTTTTTTTTTTAAATGGCGTTTATCGCGTTTTGGAACCAAACTCTTCAAATGCTGGTGACTTTCTTGTTATTGTAAATCTGTATTTCCCATTAACACCTTTTTTTCTTTCTTTTTTTTTTGGCTGATGAATGCTGAATAAAAGTCAGTGTAACAGTGTTAAGTACCCTTTTTATTTGCGTGTGATTATGTGAATATTTTTACACATATTAGAACCCTTGAAAAGTTCCTGGGTTTAGTGTGAATCTTCATCATAACAATAGAAAAGAGGAGCAGAATGGCAGTTATCATGAAACAGCAGGGTTTGCTCTGGCAGCCTGGACGTTTTTGGTAATCACATTCAGGTAGAATAATAGATAGCTTAAGTCACCCTTCCTATCAAAAAGACACACACTGTCACAGTTTAGAAATTAAATTGATTTGATTGATTTGATTAAATTTATTAACTCATAGCAAAATTGTGTGATTGATTATCAGGGCTTGAAATGAATTTATGTGCAAGAGAGAGGTTAATGCAGTGCAGTTTTCATTATAAATGAGTCAAAGTTAATGATAAGAACAAGATAGCTAGCAACATAACAGCAACTTAGACTATTATGAGTGTTCGAGCTAACATAACTATGTAGCGGGGACATCTCTGATTTTTGTTTTAGTTAGTAAACAAAACCTTTATATGTTCTGTTCAGTCAGATTAATCAAATGTGTAAAATTACCAGCCTATACATTTTCACATCTATACATTTATAAAATAAATTAGTAAATTTGAACCACTGAACTGGAATGACCATTAACTTTTGCACTTTGTAAGTGCCCATTTCTGAGGAGGACTAGAGAGAGCATGTGCGGAAATCAGTAACAGAGGAATTTCCTGTAGTAAAGTGTTATTTCTCTCTCGTGCAGGTTTGATGATTGTTTGCCCAAATGATAAATACAGCTGTGAACCTGTTAGTTTCTATGTAATTTGTTGTTTTGTGTGATTTAGCAACAAAGGACAGACGACCACAGTAAATATAGGTGCAGAATTTACACGATGGGAAACACTAAAAGCACAGAAGAAAATGAAGAGTGATGTGGAGCTGGCAGCTTTTCTTCTCAACCGGTGGGAACACAAAATTATCTTTTAAATTCCACAATTTAACTAAAAGGTTTAATTTGCAACATAAATAATCAACCATGCCAAAGTGCATAATACATTTTTCTATAGCATGTAACTTAGCTTTTGAAATGGTGTACACTCTGCCTTTTGAAACAAATTTAGCACTTTAAAGGGGTCATATGATGCTTTTTTAAAGATCATCATTTTGTGTATTTGGTGTAACAGAATATGTTGACATGCTTTAATGTTCAAAAAACACATTATTTTTCAAATACTGTACATTATTGTAGGTCCTCTATGCCCCGCCTCTCTCAAACGCTTTGTTTTCTACAAAGTTCGTCCATAAAATGCATTGCTGTTCTGTTGTAAGTAATCTTAAAGATTCCTAAATGTATCTACTTTCGGAAGGCCAAATAAAGTGCTTTTGCTTTTGCCTAGAAACACACAGCGTCTCCCTGACATGCTGCTTCAACACTAACTGCGGTTACTGAAACCACGCCTTCTTTCTTTGCGTGAACATTTGGGCGCATTATGCAAATATTGCCACATAGTGAGGTAGATATGTGGGGGCGTGTTAGAACGAGCCGTTTTAGGGGGACGTGGCAGAGTCTTAACTTTGATAAAGAATATCTCTTTGGTTTTGAGACTTTAGTCTTTGCAACTTCAGGGATCTTATCTATGCACAATCAGCTTGTAACACTCCAAAAAGAAAGGAAAACTTGAAATCGCATCATATGACCCCTTTAAAATAAGTGTTAAAATACTCTGCATCCCATAAACCAAAAGGTTCAAGAGAAATGCATGTGTTCCTAAAAAGACAACATTTATGTTGTCATGTCAGTTGTGTGATGATAATGGCTTTGGCTACGACCTTCTGACATTTTCTGTCGTTGATATGTGATGTTGTCAGTCAGTTTTTCAGAGATTAAAGATATTTGTGTGTTCTTTCATGAAATAAACAAAAAGAGAGAAAAAATATATAATTATACTGATGTTGGAAAAAAATAGTTTCTTACAAATTTCTCTAATATCGGAAATTAATTTCCTAACAGGATTCAATATGAGAAATCAGACTTCCAGAATTACCGCTTCAAAAAGAATTTCAGAGAAAGTCTTGTCTGGATCTTCCAGGTAGGAAAAAAATATTGTTTATATTAATAAATAAAGTTAATTTTTGTTTAAAAAAATTGTGAAATAAAGTTTATATTATATCAAATACATTATTCAACAACTGTAAAATTGCATATTTTATTTGTTAAAAATAATTAATGTCTGCAGTGTTTCCCCTATTATTTTAGTTGTGCACACATCCACATCACTGCCATGATGGACTCTTTTTCATGTTGGTAGAGGAATATCTCATAAAAACAACCTCTACAGCTTTCATATCAGCATGTCTTGTGCTGCTATCAGTAGGAAGATGCACACAATCTATTCTAACTTATATTACTTAAGAAATGGTTAAATTAAAACCTTAGTTAAAGTTACAGTTATTTGCAATCAATATTTAGCAACTTTACAGCTATGCATGATATACAGTCATATACAAATTAATATACAGTCATATGGACATTTGGAAATGTTCATTTTCCCTAACTCAATTCTGGTAATTCTGTAAAAAAAAAACGTTTTACTGTTTTTGCTAAGACGTTTACTAGCATTTAATGTTGCATCAATATCATCAATGAGTCATGTAAAAATTGCAGCAGCAATGCTCATACATCAGTAGTGGCAATGTGCCTGCTAAATTGAATATAGGGAAACACTGGTTTGACATTTTTATAGGTACTTTCAATAATAGTACTTAAAATTACTGAATAAAGTTTGATATGATAACTGATGCTCTAAAATTATATTAAATACTGATGTTCTAAAAATTTATTTTTTTGTCTATACTATTGCTACTTTACGGAAGTTCTAAGCGGCCATGCATTAGTATACATTTTTTCTTGTTTTCTCGTGATCACGACTTTATTTTTGTTGTGATCTCGACATAACAAAAGTTGTTTTCTCGTTATCATGACTTATTTTTCTCGTGATCCCAACATAACAAAAGTTGTTGTCTCGTTATCACGACTTATTTTTCTTTTGATCTCGACATAACAACGGTTGTTCTCTAAGATACACAACTGTGCCAACAGTTGGCAGTATAGAACTATTGATGGGGAGTTGTATAGGCTACTGTCTCAAATAAAGCCTACTGTACACGTTTGGGACAGAGGACCTTCTTCATGATAGGCTATCTATAATTTGTGCTGTTCTATACTGCATATCCACTAGATATGCATCGTGAGTCAACTGTTGCTATAGTAACGAACACATCCTTGATGGTGACATTCTAAAATGCTTAACCTGGCTTAATGCGTTAATTGAGAGTGTTTTTAAAAGACAAAACTCAGTATACACATTATTAGTAATTCATACTATGTACAGACAAGAAGATGAGCCCATAATAAGAACGCAATGCGTTTAATTCCGCGTTAAGTCCCATAGAATACCTTTACGGACAACACGTATAAATGTGTTAAGGCAGTGTTTTTAAAAGACCAAACTCAGTAAACACATCATTAATAAAGCATTCTATGTACAGACAAGCAAATAAGCCCACAAGAAAAACGTGTAGCGTTCGCATCCTGGACTCATCTGCTTGTCTGTGCATAGGCTATTATAATTTATTAATAATGTGTTTACTGAGTTTGGTCTTTTAAAAACACTCTCTTAACGCATTAAGCAACTGTTAGTAAATTAACAATTTGGTCCCTCTATATCTCTTTGCCACCTCTGAAAATTCTCAGTCCCTTAAAGTGTATACGGCCGGGAAGCAAGAAAACACACATTCAAATTGTATTCTCAATACTTCAATTTATTCATAGAAACAAAGATATTATATAGGCATATGTCGAGGGGAGTTTCAACCCTTTAACCAATGAGGATATAGATGACATACATATAGGATCTTGGCCAAGAACATGTGTTTATATAAAATGGCCACATGTACAGAAAAATATGGACATATTAGGAATAGACTTGACGAAGGATGCTGAACTCTCTTCAGAGTTCATCACGAACCCCTTTTACCTTGGAGTCCTAGCATTCATGTCCTTATTTGAACATTTGAACCAAGAAAAGCTAATGCATACATGTGCGCATGCGTACCTCGAATATGAGTAAGAGACATTAAAACATCATACAAGAGAGAGAGAGAGAACAGATGGGGAGGAGGGGGATTCAGAGAGATTCTGGATCGGCGGTTTGTCTCATTTTATAAATCAAACATCGTTTAGAAAATAGATGCTAAATGACTACAAAAGCACTGCACAAAACAGTGCAGCGCAAAAAGTCGCAATAATGGTAATCAGTATTCAATTCCCTTATATTTATGTATGGTACACGTTTACCATTTCATGAAACTATCATAAATAATGAAGCCCAAGTGCCTCCTACAGGCCTATTATGTGAAATGTAGGCTGGCAAAGTGGTGACGTGAAAGGACTTTAATATTAAAATATTTGATAATTATGCAGCATTAGGAAAGTGTTTATGCTCATCAAGTCTGCATTTATTTGATCAAAAACACAAAAAACTGTATTTAAAAAAAAAAATTTAAATTGTACTCAATTTAAAATAATGTTTTTCCTATTTTAATATACTTTAAAATATAATTTATTTATGTGATGCAAAGCTGAATTTTCAGCATCATTACTCCAGTCTTCAGTGTCACATGATCATAAGGACACAGTTCACATCCAGTGACTCAGCATCAGTGTGGAAAGGTCTAAAAGAGATCACCAACTACAAGACACCATCCCACAGCACTGTGGAGAATCAACAACTGACAGACGATCTTAATGAGTTTTACTGCAGGTTTGAAAAAACACCCCACACCCGCCCTGAACACCTTCTTTGGGATGGCACAATCAAGCGACGTTCACTTGCAGAACGCAAGCTTCTAGACGGCACATAATTCTGAAGTAATGAATTTAGGTAAAGGGGTGCAGAGCCAGTGGTGGTTTTGTAGGCAAACATCAATGCCTTGAATTTTATGCGAGCAGCTATTGGTAGCCAGTGCAAATTGATAAAGAGAGGTGTGACGTGCATTCTTTTTGGCTCATTAAAAATTAATCTTGCTGCCGCATTCTGGATTAATTGTAAAGGTTTGATAGAACTGGTTGGAAGACCTGCCAAGAGAGCATTGCAATAGTCCAGCCTGGACAGAACAAGAGCTTGAACAAGGAGTTGTGAAGCATGTTCCGAAAGAAAGGGTTTGATCTTCTTGATATTGAATAAAGCAAATCTGCAGGACCGGACAGTTTTAGCAATGTGGTCTGAGAAAGTCAGCTGATCATCAATCATAACTCTTTCAGGTTTCTGGCTGTTTTTGAAGGAGTTATGGTTGATGTGCCTAACTGGATGGTGAAATTGCGATGAAATTATGGGTTTGCTGGAACAACAAGCAGTTCTGTCTTGGCAAGGTTGAGTTGAAGGTGATGGTCCTTCATCCAGCAAGAAATATCTGTTAGACAAGCTGAGATGCGAGCAGCTATCGTCGGGTCATCAGGATGGAATGAGAGGTAGAGTTAAGTGTCATCAGCATAGCAGTGGTATGAAAAGCCATGTTTCTGAATGACAGAACCTAGTGATGCCATGTAGACAGAGAAGAGAAGTGGTCCAAGAACTGAGCCCTGAGGCACCCCAGTAGATAGATGTTGCGACTCACCTCTCCAAGATACCTTGAAGGACCTATCTGAGAGGTAAGACTCAAACCACTGGATTGCAGTTCCTGAGATGCCCTTTGCCAAGCAAGGCAAAACTGGTTGCTGTCAAGGAGGTTGTTCTGTGTGAGAAAGGCAGATACTTGGTTGAACACAGCTCGTTCAAGTGTTTTTGCAATGAAAGGAAGAAGGGAAACTACTCCTATGTGTGAGTGTGTGTGGTTTACAAAGAAATGTAGAAAATACAAAAGATTAGGCTACTGTCACACCCCTGTGGACTGTTGATTGTGGTTTCTCCCTTTGTGTCCATATTTGGTTGTTCCTGTTCTCATTATCAGTTAATCACCTCATTGTGCTCACCTGTCTGCCCCTCGTTATCTGCCCTATATCAGTTCCTGTCGATTGTGTTCTAGTTTGTCGGTTATTGTGAATGTTACCCTGTTCGTGTGTGCCTACCCTGTCTGGATATTACTCTTCTGTGGATTATTAAAGACTGCATACTGTTGACTTCTTCGTCTTCATCGTTCTGCCTGATCACACACCGTCTTGTGACAGAATAACCGACCCAAACATAAACTATTTAAGCGGCATCTTCCCCTTGTTTTTGTTTTTCGGTTTTGTTAGTTTTTGTTTTCTGTTATGGATGACCCTGCCGTCCTCGTCCTCCTGCTGGAGCAGGGGGATCGCTCTCTTGAGGACCACACTAAAGACTTTGTGTTCCTCGCTAACCTCACACACTACCCAGACAACTGCCTCTGCTCATTCTATCGAGCTGGACTTAACCCCATCACACGAGCACAGTTGTCCGGGGATGGTCAGCGAGAGAGCATCGCCGCCTTCATTCGCTAACCTCACACACTACCCAGACAACTGCCTCTGCTCATTCTATCGAGCTGGACTTAACCCCATCACACGAGCACAGTTGTCCGGGGATGGTCCTCGAGAGAGCATCGCCGCCTTCATCGAGTGGGTGCTGGTGTCCTGCAAGTCACATCTGACCGTGGACATTGCGGACAACAACACCAGCCCCACTCAGGACCCAGAGCCCAGTCAAGGACCACCCCGCGGCGCGGAGCTGGACGAGCCCACCGCAGACGGAGAGCCAGAGCCTGCCGCGGTCGTTGAGCCATCGCCATCAGGAGCGACAGAGCTGATGATCGCCCTGGAGCTTGAGCCCCAAGTGTCTGACCAGGTGCGAGAGCCGACAGCACAAGCAACGGTGGATACAGCTGTGGAGATCATGGGGGCAATGGAAAGCCCCGCCCACAGCGCCACCACTGGGGGTGAGCACAAACTGGACTTGGGAGATTTAATAGACTTGCACTCAGAGATACCCGTCCTTCAGTTTTCACCCGACCTGTTTACCTGGGAAAATATACCACCCAACCTCCCGCTCCCGCCTCCTCTCATTGACCTGTTCCCTTCGTCAACACCCTCTCCGCTGTATCCCGTCAGCCTCTCTCCTCACCCTCAGCTCACCATCTGTGGCGTGGGCTCGCCGCTGGTCTGCCTATCACCAGCTCCATTGGCGTTGAGTCTGGAGGATCCCTCGACTCTACCTTCAGCCTCCGAGGCCCAGACTCCACCTTGGTCATGCGACCCAGCGACTCCACCATGGCTCCTAGCTCCCTCCTCTCCACCGTGGCCCATCAGTCCACCAGCTCCACCGGGCTCCATCGTCCCTCCGGCTCCACCTTGGTCAGTTGTCGACCATCCGCCGCCTCGGGCCTCCACTTCTCTGGCTCCGCCTCGTCCCTCCGTCCCTCAGGCTCTGTCAGGCTCCACCTTCCCTCTGGCTCCACCTCAGTCCTCTGTCGCTCCGGCTCCACTGCGGCCTTCCGGATCCCTGTCTCCGCCTCGGTCGCCAGCGCCATCTACTCCGCCTTGGCCCTCCGGATGCTCTGTGTCACCCTGACTCATCGGCTCTCCGTCTCCACCTCGGGCTCCTCCAGCACCTGCTCCGCCGCTGTCGGTCAGCCCCCTGGAGTTGTCAGCCCTTACTTCACCATGGCTACTACCTCCGTCGGCTCCACCGTGGGCCGCTACCATGCCTGGGTCCCACCTGGCTCCTACTCCTTCTCCGGTTCCCTCCTGTCTTCTCCCTGGCTCCTCCCTCCATCGTCACCTCCCTGGACTCTGTTAGTCATCCTCCTCCTGGGAGCCCGTCCGCCGCCGAAAACTCCACCTGTCTGGTCTGCCTGCCAGCCCTTTGCCTTCTCCTGTCACCATCCCATATCCACTCCTTTGTCCTCCTCCTAATCCCCCTCCGTCCCTCCCTCTGTCTCCACGGCACGAGGATGCGCCTTCCGGGAGGAGGGCGATCTGTCACGCCCCTGTGGACTTTTGATTGTGGTTTCTCCCTCTGTGTCCATATTTGGTTGTTCCTGTTCTCATTATTAGTTAATCACCTCATTGTGCTCACCTGTCTGCCCCTTGTTATCTGCCCTATATCAGTTCCTGTCGATTGTGTTCTAGTTTGTCAGTTATTGTGAATGTTACCCTGTTCGTGTGTGCCTACTCTGTCTGGATATTACCCCTCTGTGGATTATTAAAGGCTGCATGTTGTTATATTCTTCGTCTTCGTCGTTCTGCCTGATCACACACCGTCTCGTGACAGCTACAACACTGGATAACATCACTGAACTAAATTATACACATATGTAAATCACATTTCTTATTAATATACATTTATTAACAATAAAGATTAAAAATAAGAAAGATGCACATTACAAATGGGTTGTACGTCGTTGTAAATGAGAAACAGATGAGTCGTGCAGCAGTAACGTAATGATAACATAAAATTTCAAACAAAATGATCATATTTATTCAAGCATTTAACATTTATAAGTTAATTAAATGTCTGTAATGAATGGCACAAATTATAGATAGCCTATCATGAAAAAGGTCCTCTGTCCCAAACGCGTACAGTAGGCTATATTTGAGACAGTAGCCTATACAACTCCCCATCAATAGTTCTATACTGCCACATGTTGGCGCAGTTGTGTAATTTAGAGAACAACTCTTGTTATGTCGTGATAACGAGACAACAACTTTTGTTATGTCGAGATCACAAGAAAAATAAAGTCGTGATCACGAGAAAACTTTTGTTATTTCGAGATCACGAGAAAACTACTTTTGTTATGTTGAGATCATGGGGAAATTAAGTCGTGATAATGAGAAGACAACTCTTGTTATGTCGAGATCACGAGAAAACAAGAAGGAAAAAAATAATAATGTATGGCCGCTTAGAACTTCCGTACTATTTTGTAGGTAAATGTCTCACATTATCACAGCTTCAATAAAGATTTTTACTGTTGCCTCTCTGTAACTTGTTTGACCTCATGATCATATGTGGATGTAAGATTTAATTACATTTTATTGTTGTAATTTTTTTTTATTGTTTGATTTTAGGACCTTGAGTACAAAATAATTGTATTTCTGAAGACTGAGCTGGAAAAGTTTAAGAAAATATTAAAAGAAGAGAACACACAATACTTTGTCCAGGACTTTATAGAGGACATGTGCAGTGTCAAAGAAGCAGCTCTTGATATCACACTTTACTTTCTAAAAAGTATGAAGCAAGATAAACTTGCAGACACTCTAAAAGGTAAGAGGCTCATGCGCATCTGTTATACTCTCACTTATAAAATAAGGAAAGAAAAGTAGGATCAAGTGTTTTTTTTGTGTTTGTTTAGATGAGCTGGTCTTCATTCATCAACGACGACTTAAATCGAACCTGAAGAAAAAGTATCAGTTTGTGTTTGAAGGAATTGCAAAGCATGGTGACTCAACACTTCTGAAGAACATCTACACAGATCTCTATATTACTCAGGGTTGTAGAGAACAGGTCAATACTGAACATGAAGTAAGACAGATTGAAGTTACTTCCAGGCGTCATGAATCACAAGAGATACAGGTTGAATGCACAAATTTGTTCAAAGCACCCGAACAAGACAAGCAGATCAGAACTGTACTGACAAAAGGAGTTGCTGGCATCGGAAAATCAGTCTCTGTGCAAAAGTTTATTCTGGATTGGACAGAAGGAAAAGAAAATCAAGATATCAGCTTTATATTTCCTCTTCCATTCAGAGAGATTAACTTAAAAGAGGAAGAAAAACAAGGTTTGATGAGCCTGATAAGTCAGTTTTTCCCAGAGACAAAAGGACTGAACCTTACAAGAAATGATAAATTCAAAGTCCTGTTCATTCTTGATGGTTTGGATGAATGTCGTCTTCCTCTAAACTTTAAGGATAATGAGACATGGCGTGACGTCTCATCACCAGCCTCTCTGGATGTTCTCCTCACAAACCTCATCAAGGGGAATCTGCTTCCTTCTGCTCTCATCTGGATCACCACCAGACCAGCAGCTGCCAGTAAGATTCCTCCTGACTCTATCGACCGGGTAACAGAGGTCAGAGGGTTCAATGATGCACAGAAGGAGGAGTATTTCAAAAAAAGATTTGAAGATCAGAATCTGGCCAGTGAAATCATTGATCATGTTAAACAATCAAAGAGTCTCTTTATCATGTGCCACATCCCAGTCTTCTGCTGGATTTCAGCCACTGTTCTCCAGAACATTTTAGAGGAGAAAAGAAATAATGATCTGAAAAACGATCAGGGTGATGCCTCCAAGGAAACAAATACTGAAGACACTCCCAAGACTCTGACACAAATGTACACACACTTTCTCCGTTTTCAGATGCTGCAGAGTAGACGAAAGTATGATGGAGAATACACACCAGATGTTTCCTGGGATAAAGATGCCATATTTTCACTGGGGAAACTGGCATTTCATCAGCTGGAAAGAAACAACCTCATCTTCTATGACACAGACCTGGAAGCCTGTGGTATTGATGTCTCTAAAGCATCAGTGTACTCAAGCATGTGTACCCAGATCTTTAAGGAGGAAACAGGGATCATTCTTGGTACCATGTACTGCTTTGTTCACATGAGCATTCAAGAGTTTATTGCAGCCCTTTATGCACATCTGTTTCTAGACATCAACAAGAAAAATGCATTTGTTCAAGATTCTACAGAACATGAAAACCAAAATGACACCATGATTAATTTGCTCAAGACTGCAGTGGACAAGGCACTTGAGAGTGACATTGGACACCTGGACCTTTTCCTTCGCTTCCTTCTCGGTTTGTCACTTGAGTCTAAAAAAACACTCTTACGAGGTCTGTTAACTCAGCAAGATGGCAATGACCAGAGCACAAAGGAAATAGTTCAGTACATCAAGCAGAAACTAGAAGCTAATCTGTCTTCAGATAGATCCATCAATCTGTTCTACTGTCTGAATGAACTGAACGACCAAACTCTGGTGAAAGAGATTCAGACCCACCTTAGAGAAGGAAGTCTCTCATCTGCTGATCTTTCTCCTGCTCAGTGGTCTGCTGTGGCCTTTGTGTTGTTGACATCAGAGGAAGAGATGGAGGAGTTTGAGCTTCAGAAATTCAAGAAATCAGACGAGTGTCTCATTAGATTATCACCAGTCATAAAAACCTCCAAAAAAGCTTTGTTAGTAATTTGTCACATTTTGCACTCATCTTAAAAACACATTTATCAATAACCCTCTATAATTCATTTTTTGAATCATATACCACCTGCAAGTTAATTCTAAACAACACGCCAAAGTTATTCTCTCTATATAGTTTAATTGAATATAATATGAGAATGCTTTATATTATGCACTTCAAACAAATACATAAACATATAGTGTAATGTGGCCCTGACAGGTGCTCTGGCAGATGTGTGTGCTGTATAATGCATTTGGAGATTTTTTTTTCCTCAGTGTATAACTTACATACACTTGCAGTTATATGTTTAGATGTAATTTTCAGAAAATCCTGCAAGTATTTGCATTTTGCATAAAAGTTCTTCCTGACAGTAAGTTTTTGATGAACTTCACAGACTTCATTAATCGAACAAGAACACGCACATCCACATCAAACAAGTAGAGCACATTAGAAATGTAATGCAATAATTCTAACTAAAATATGCATTTTTCTAAGATGAATGTAGGTTTAAAATGCTACATGAAACTTAATTATATTTAAGGGGAACAGTAACGTCTCGGTTACGTATGTAACCCTCGTTCCCTGAAGGAGGGAACGGAGACATCACGTCGGAGGACCGACGAATTGGGATCTCGCTTAGAGGGACCAATCTACTTCGAGTGTAAACTAAACGAGCCAATGCACATTGGCATGCAATTATTGCATCCAGCTGCTGCTGATCACAGCGTGAGTATAAGTAGGCAGCAGATGCAGTGCATTTTCAGGTTTTCGCTGAGGAGCCGAGCCGGTGACCCGGCCGCTCAGCGGTGGTACAGGAGCTGTGGCGACGGGACGTGACGTCTCCGTTCCCTCCTTCAGGGAACGAGGGTTACATACGTAACCGAGACGTTCCCTCTCAGTCGGTCACTCTCGACGTCACGTCGGAGGACCGACGAATTGGGATCCTATCAAAAGGCCACAGCTACCGCCCCTTCCAGTGTCCTGTGGAAGCCATCTACGCCCCTACTTTTTGGC